CCGCCCGAGCCGCCAAACTTGGGGTGCTTCGGTGCGGCGGCCTTTTGGGGAAGCCGCGCCTGGCGTGCGACATACGGGTTCTCGCTCTTGCCAGGAAACGCCTCTACGCCACTCGGGTCATTGGGAACCTTTGCCGCCTTTGGCGGCGGCGGCGGCGGCGGCGCTCTCGGTCCGGCACGAGTGGCGGGGGCCGGCGCCTTGCGCGGTGGCGGTGCAGGCTCCCAGTCATCGTCATCGTCAGCCCAGTCGCCCATGTTTGGAAGGAAAGCTGTGGAGGGGCCCTCACCCACTCGCCTGCCGCGCTTCGACCTGAACGCGCCAGCGCCCGCAAGCGAGCAAAGCAAGTAATCTGCGCGGAACACCCCGCCCCCACCCCTCGGGGTGGGGGCACCCGTGTGTGTGTGTGTGTGTACTCACACACGGGGCACCCGCTCCTGCCGGGCACCTGCCGGGCACCGCTTGCGGCGCCTGGCAGGGGCACCCCCTGGGTGGGGGCCTGCGCGATCGCGTATTATGATCGGTGTGAAAACAGCATAGTAGGTGTGAATATAGTAAGTAGTACATGCCCCTGTGAGCTCAGGCAGTCCTCTAGTGTGCCTGGACTTGGCCTGAGCAAATAGTAGCGTTTGGGGCGTGAATTTAGCCGAAGTGGACCTTGCCCAGCAAGGTCCACCAGAGGCCATGTGTCGGGGCAGCCACAAGCGGGCTGGGCATGGGCGAGTCGACCTGACAGGCCGCTCGCTGCCCCAACTCGACTTAGCCACGGACTTGGCTCACACCCAGGTCGTTGTACTTCAAGGCTAAGAGTGAGTAGGACAAAAGAGTTTTCCCAGCGCGAGGCCATGCTCCCACGCGCTGCTCTCGGCGATTCCGGACTTCCCCCTTCCACACCGGCGTGTGTGCTTCGCAAGGAGGGTCCGGGGCTCACAGCATCAGAGCCCGGAGCCGTGTCCGATAACACTACCTCTCGCAGATTGGTAGCGGCGGTAAGGAAATAAACCCTCATACCTAACACA